CTTGCTGCAGCCCTATTTCCATGTTGCTTGGCATATTCCACAACCTTTAACTTGAAACCAGTTGTATATGCTAAATGCTTTTGTCTTGATTCCACTAGGGATGGAATCATGCCCTGATCAATCAAATCAATTAAAACGGTAGTTTTAAGAAACTGAAACAAATAGTGAATGTAGGCACGAGTTGTTTAACTGAGAGCACTCTGCACGTATGAAAGTGATGAGACAGACTAAAAAAAACGTTGGCAACGTTGGGGTGCATCGCACTCTGCAGCAGTATTCTTTTTACCTAAGTTTAAATTTTAAAAAGTAAGGTACTATCAGGGGTGTGGAAATTTACTCTGTATGTTGTACAACCTGTATGTTGTAGGCTGGCTATGTGTAGTGTGTGGTAATGGTAATCTGTTTATTACCATACTGGTACTTATTCCCTCCCTTCCTGCTTACCTGTCTGCAGCAGGCAGGCAGGCAGGCAGGCAAGATCTCTGGTGGACCAGTAGGGGCTAAAAATCCCTGGTGGTCCGAGTGGATTGGGGGGTATAGTAATTTATTATTAGGGTATGCCTCCTCTGTTTGCAGTCTAGTAACATTACCTGCGCGGTCTGGCACTCAGTGTGTCAGAGCAAAGGGTCAGCACTTTGCTCTGACTCATTACTACATGCCAGACCGCGCAGGTGATGTCACTAAAGTACAGTGAGCTTCCCCTTCTCTTTGCAGCATTCCAGCATGTAGTAATGAGCCAGAGCAAAGTGCTGACCCTTTGCTCTGACACACTGAGTGCCAGACCGCGCGGGTAATGTTACTAGACTGCAAACAGAGGAGGCATGGTTTAAGTGCCATCAATCAGAGGAGGAGGTGGGAAGCACGCACTTGCAGCCCTGGTTACAGCCCTGGCTCAAATGAAGACTCCACTCTCCAAGCCCTGCTGCTTGAGATGAGAAGGCACAGGGATTATACGGGGCACACACATCGGCATATAACACGCAGCTAGGATTTCAGCCCCACATTTTAGGGGGGGTGCGTGTTATACGCCGATAAATATGGTAATTCGTTTTTGGGCAATTATAGCTCAATTATGTTCAGATATTTTCAAAGGAAATATTTGAATTAAATATTTGAATTTTCCTGGATGAGTTTGCCTACTCTTAGCAAACACAAAGCAACACAGACTCTTCTGGGCAGAACAGTGGGGCTGGGAAGTAGAACTCCTAAGTTGTTTTCCTTGTCCAGGTAAAAAGAAATGCATTAAAGATTCATGCATGAATGAAGGACCCAAATAAAGAGAGGAGGAATATTGCAACAAAACTTTGTAACCCATAACTCTACATTGCTATCTTTCTTTGCTTTCAGGATACATACAGCAGCTGGCCTACAGAAAAAGCGATAGTTCCTATGCAGCATTCATAGATCGTCCATCAAGCACTTGGTAAATGCTACAGATTGCAAGGAAGGGAAAACAGAAAAGGCATGGGAAAAATAGGGTACAAAACTCTAAGTAGATATGATATTCCACTGGTGAGTCAAACAAAAGTCCAGCAGCTTGTCTGGGCGGTTTGAAAACTCTACTGTGAAGTACGTGATATGAAGTCAATGAGGTACAGTAGTTCAAAGGTTGGGCCAGGACATAGGAGGCCCAGGTTAAGTCACCTTAAAATGATTTTAATGGATAAAATGAAGGGAGTATAGAGGGGGATCATTCATACTGCCTGAACTCATTACAGGAATTGTGGGATATAATTGCAATGGTAAATAATGTTGATGAATTCACTGCCTCCAAATATGGTGGCCCCTTTACGTATCATCTCTCATAGCCACTGATAAATCAATCCTTCAAAAATCAATGTCTTATTTTTTTTAAGTCCCTGTTGAGGATTCTGTATGCATCATTGTAGTATAAGCTTCATTTTTATCAGGTCCAAATTTTTCAAGGATTGTAATTTGCACAAAGATGCAGAGAGTTTTCTGGCGGGGTGGGAAATGACAGTTCTAATATATGAAATAGTAAATGCCATGTATGCATAAAATATATGGAAGGTATACCTGGGGATTCTGTTGATGTCCTCTGTACTTTTTTCTCCTGCTTCCCACAGGCTGACGGCATACGTGGTAAAGGTCTTTGCAATGGCCAGTCCACTCATTTCTGTTGATAGTCAACTTCTTTGTGGGGCTGTGAAATGGCTTATTAAGCAGAAGCAACTATTCACTGGTGCCTTCAAGGAAGATGCTCCTGTGATTCATGGAGAGATGGTGGTAAGCAGGCAAAACGTCTAGGGCAATCTCCCATTACTTCAGAGATTATAATCCTTGAGTTGGCACTGTTGATGACTGGGGATTATGGGAGTCCAGCACTAGAGAATAAAATACAGTAGGAAAGGGGATATGGCTGCATATTGGTTAAATGCACTAGATTAGAAACTGGGGGACCATGTTTAGACACAAAAGGCAGATGACTGACTTTGGGCTGTCACTCTCTCTCAGCCCAAGGAAGATGGCAAGGGCAAGCCACTTCTGAAAATGTTGCCAAGAAAACTGCGAGGACTTGTTCCTGTAGTCACCAGGAGTCAGGGTTTACTCGACAGATCATAACATCAACAGAATAAGAATCACTGATGAAAATTAGAACCTTCATTCTTTGCTGTGAGGAGTGGCAATGACCAGCACAGCTGACTTTAGCAGTCTCCAGCCACTACACATCCTCTAGCACAGTGGCCAGAAACAGACCATGATGCTGTTTCTGCACTCCCTAGGGTAACAAATGTCAGCTTTCTCTCTCTGTCTCCTCCATAAAGCTGCTTGCTGTGGTGACTGGGGCTGTAGCACTAGCAACATTGGATTGTGGCCGGTTTGAGATTTGGGAACTACAGTGTCCTGGATGGATGGATGGATGGCCTCTTAGAAGGCTGGGTCTCTGTAAAATAACTACAAGTTGCACTCAACTCTGATTTTTCAAAGTACAGTGATACCTCGGGTTACGAACGCCTCTGTTAACGAACTTTTCAGGTTACGACCAGCTCCG